TCTGCTGTGAAGTTATTCTGTAGTTTTATATCTCACTTAAGGATTGGTTATAGCTGGGTACTGATAAGATATTTGAGTTCCGTATTCATTTTTGTCGTAAGTTACTGTTTCATTTTGTCCCGTACTTCTTTTTCGCCTTATTATATACTATATGCAGGTTATATTGTAATTGCCCCGTCGTAGCCTCGTCACTACCTCGTCGAGGTTAGGCTCAACACTTACCAGTACTTGGGTCGATTGTACTGATACTGTACTAAGCACTTTCTGTGCAGATTTTGGAGCATACAATGGCTGATAGATGCAATTTCTTTTAGACCGATATTTATAGTAAATCATAGTATGTTCATGGATTGTGACACCGGATTCTGGGTAGTAGTAGTAGTTGTTGTTGTAATAGTTCCGGTAATAGTTTATAAACAAAGTAGTTGTTTACTTACTTCCGCAATTATGATTATTTATTTAATTTATTTATTTTTAATTACTAAATCATAAAAGAAATTGGTTAGTAATACTCTAACGTTGGCTTGCCTAGCAAGTGTGATGCTAGGCGCCATCACGGTCCCAATGGTGGAAAATTCCGAGTCGTGACAGAGATCACCACATATTATGAAGAAGTGATAAGAATGCTAAATCATGGACACCTCCCTTACAATTCGATTATTTGTATATGCGGGTCATTGATGGAGTAGTTGGGGAATCCAGCACTAGGACATAGCTTTAGGGAACATAACCAAGTAGCGGACCTCCTCGCCAAGGAAGGAGCTAGAAAGGGAAGTTTTGATAGGATCGAGTTTTTGGCAATTCCTCTGTATTTGCAAACAAAGCACTATAAGCAGACATCCTAGGAACTGTATTTACTAGGAAAATCAATGTCTGTAATACTAGTGTGATGCAAGACAATGACGATAGAATTCAAGAGAGCTTAGTCACTCATATTATGAAATAACTATTTTGAATCAGTAGGTATATATATATATATTTCTATTATATAGAAAAGGAAACATGGTCAACCAAGGGTATATATGTCATTTCAAAAAAATTCATGCATTGTTTGCATTTCTAAATATAAACTATCATTAATATACGTGGACCTCACATTTCCCTAAACACAGTATTCCTTTAAATGTACTATTGATTAGACTATTTTTGCCGAGAGTATTGCAAGCAAATACTCATTTGGAACGTTCCTTTTCTCATTTGGTTAGATTATTAATTTTGGTTTAGTCAAATGGAAGTTTCCACAGAGAAACTAAAATTATATTTTAAATAATAGAGAAACAAAAAGAAATATCGGTAAATATTTACAAGTTTTTTATATTTACCCATACAATTTTAAAGCAATTTAAAAATTAAAATTTAAAGATTTTCATCTATCCACACTAGTTGAAAGCGGTTTCAAACTAAAAAAAATCATATTCAATAGTTTGTTAAACCTCAAAAGTTAATTTAAGTGATGAGATTTGTCCATACTGTACTAGCAGACTATCTCTTATATGCTTAATTGATGTGAAAATTTAATCTATATGGTTTGAACTCCATTCTTCCATGATAAGTTTTCAACTGTGAATAAATTGTCTTAAAACATTATTTGCTACTATAATTTTATATTGTTTCATTATGAAAATTAACATATGATAAATCTATAGAAAAATAAAAACATTTCTCTTATCTCCTCAATTAAGAAAAAAATTAAAATCCCTATAATTTATATCGACTTCTATCAAATGTTGATTATTTTATCACCAGTTAACATCATTTTAACGAGTTATAATAAAATATAATTTGAACTACTATATTGAATTACTACAATTTATATCATATTAATATTTGTTTAATGCTTTTGGTTCTCTTTGTTTGAAATAGTAAATTGTCTCTTTACGGATGCAAGTTCCATTGGAAGTTCTCTTTGTTTAATGTACGAAAATCTTCTCTTAATTTTGTTGTATACATGACATGAAGTAAAAACATAAGTTTGTATTCTATCTTTTATCGTATTGTAAAGAATGATGTTGTTCGTTTTAAGTTTCATCAAATAGCCGATTGTTCCTAATGTTGAAATACTTGCTAAACCAATTTGGATGNATATATATAGTTGACCAAAAAAAATATTTATTCAAAGCTTTCCACTGTTAACTTATTCTACAGGTCTAAAAGTTCAATTAGTAAAGTCCCAGCACCCTAATTAAAAAGCCTTGGGGATAGTACGGGGCCACGTTAAGATACAATAAACCCTTTGGAGGCAGGTAAACGAGAAAAGAATCTGAAATTCTTTGCAAATACTGGATGATATACGTTAACTTTGAAAGAAGCTTCCCATGATCCACAAAGTTTGAGGCGTTGAAGAATTACTCTTACAAGCCTACAAGGTTCACAAAGTTTGACGCTTTGAAGAATTACTCCATTGATGATCTTGAGAAATCCATGAAAACGTCTTATAAATAGTGGAAAAGGAAATAATTTTGGTTAGAGAACAATTAGGATTGGAACTTGTATTTAATATACTTTTTCTCTCCTAAATAGTTTTATGAAAAGGTAATACAGTCAACCCTCTCTAACAGGTTCGTTTATTCCGATATTGTTTTAATTTTTATAGTAAATGATTGTTATATACTCATAACAACATTTAATTCTTAGATATTTTTGGTTGTTATAAATAAAAATTGTTCAAAAAAAGTTATTTTTTCTTTTAGTGTTACATATAAAAGATAAGAAAATTATTCAAATTTAAAATCTCAAAATATATACATATTTCACTAGTTAAATATTGAAGAAAGCTAATATATTCTTAATAAATTCGTAATTAAACGTATAAAGATTTAAACTCTAAGGCTCATATTTTAAAGCTACCTAGAAAAATATTTTTTTTTAAGATTGATGGAAGAACTTTGTAATTGTAGCTTGTTTTGTAGATTTCATTCTCTTACTAGCGATATAACGTTTGAATTGGCGCTTGTCCAAATTTTCAACAAAAGGTATCTAATAGCTTTCCCTTGACTAAGAGCTTAACAGTTAAATCTTCTGTCTTAATATTTTTTTAAACTTATCCAATGGAAAAGATATCATGTGCAATTCTTCAAATCTTATATCATATGCAAGATATGAACTTTGTTCAATGGAAAAGATTGTGTGCGCATTTTTAGAATTACTATTAGTAATCTTAAAGATCTATATGGTTGTTATAGAGGGGTAATTTTACAAAGAGCGTTCTGCTATAAATATGGTCGTTGCTGTTATAGGTAAAATGTTGTTATAGAGAGATAAAATATCACTTAAAAAATTGATTCTGAGAAAAATTTGACTTAAATAGTGAATGACTATTATATAGGGATATTGCTATAAAGATGTCTGACCGTAAATATAATTGATTTCAATCCGAGTCCTGACATGGAAGCTCTATTACTTAAAAAAGTTACTGTGATTACCTCTAAAAATTGAAAAATTACTTGATAGTGTAGAAAGTTTGATGCAGTGCATAAAATTTTACTAATAGTTATTTACTTTTCCGAGCCAGAATAACATTATACATATATTATATATTGAGAAAATCTTACTTTATACCCATTAATTCTAAAATATTTACCCTTTAATGCCCAGACTCAAATTATTTACTGCTCTGACCCATGGGGTCCAAACTATTTACCCAGTTATTTTCACTGTAACACCTAGCTAAGATGAGGTTCTCAACAGAAGAAAAAGTTCATCTTCTTTCGTTTTCCTGAACTAAACAAAACTTTCTTTTGGATCTTTCTTCTTCTTCGCAATTTCTTTTCCCAAAATTCCCAAAAAAAAAATTGCTAAAAGAGCTAGGACTCAAATCTGCAAAAATCCCAAACGGATGAGATGGTGGAGGAAGTAGAAAAAGTGAAAAAAGATTTTGAAGAAACATACAAACAGACACAACAGCACATCAATTCTATTCAGGAATATGGCAAATCGACAAGATTAATTTCAGAAGAGAAAAGTTCACTCCTAAAATTGAATGATGTAGCTCAAGATGGGATGAATTTGCTTCAATCGCTCCAATTCAAGCTTGATCTCCTGTTGTGCGCTCCACCAGTTGGAGATTTCTTGTTTGATTCAAAGTGTGTGCTGTTAAATATTGCTTATAGTTTCTTCTGAAAATTCATACTCAAATTTGATAGCATTTGGAGCTGATTTGAGATGATTGAGATCGAAATTTTCAGCTGAAAATCGAAGAAGAACACAACTACAGTATAACACTACGGTATACAATATGTTGTAGGAGTATATAGCTATACTGCAATAATATACTATTATATTTTACAATATACTGCAACGATATATTGTAATAATCCAAGAAGAACACAGTTACCTAACAATATACTGCTATAGTATACAATATACTATAGGAGTATATAGTTATACTGCAACAGTATACTATTATAGTATACAATATATTGTTATAGTATACTGTAATAATATGCAATATACTGTAATGTTGTAATAGTATACAATATACTATAATAGTATATTTATTACACATAAATTCACTTGCATTTTCCCTTTTAATTTGCTTTAAGCTTTTACCCAGCGTGAGGGGCAAATTGAAAAAGCAAAAAAATATTTATATTATAGTATACTATATAATGTAACGATATACTCTTGCAATTAGATCCTTTTAGAATTTTTTGAAATTTTTATTGACAACTGATATTATTTCAGTCTAATAATTGAATTAAATTTTATTTTACCTCTTTGCGTACAATTATATACCTTATTAGTATAGCTATATACTATACTGGTATCATATGTTGGTTATTTTTTGGTTGTATTAGCTACATTTAATTGGTACACGATTTGATTTTTCTTTAGTAATAATATAAAAAAACAGTGAAAACAATAAATGAAATTAGATTATGAAGAGAAAAAGAATATAAAAAAGAAGTTAAATGATATTAGAAAAGGAAAAAAGAAATAAATAAGAAGAAAACGAGAAAAAAAGGAGAAAAGAAAAAAAGAAAAAAGAAAAAAAAGAAGCATAGAAATAAAAAAGAATTGAAGAATAAAGAAAACTTTCCTCACAAAAACTACTATGGGTAGGAAATAAATAATTTTATTTTTATGTGTAACTGTGTCAAAACCCCTTATATATTTGCCTGCTATTTTTAGTTTAAGTGATGGGGTGGACGGTATTTGGGTTAATTTTCTTCAAACTTATTAAACTCTTTTATTTATTTCAACATATCGGCCGAAAAAAGGATTTAAGGGAAGTCTCTTTTCTGTATGTTCTCAATCTTATTATCATATTCAAGGAACGGTGTTCTTTTGCCACATTTGACAACGTGGAGAAGTTTTGTGGGCCATGTGATGACGCGTCGCGTTCTAATTGATTAACATTGCATCATCAGTGGGTCCAATCAATAAACAATTTATTGTGAAGATTTTTTACTGCAGCGTTTTTGTTCCGTCAAGTTGACTTTGATTTTGTTCCTCTCTTTCTGCGGCGACTCCTCGCGACCTCCGGCGAAATCGTATCTGTAAGTTGTCGTTTTGTCTCTTTCGTTATCTCTCTCCCTCTCCAAATGGGTTACTTTGTTTTCTCTTTTTTGGTAAATAGATCAATCCTTTGTTTGTTACTGTTTCTATTTGCATTGCATTGCGTACCGAAAGCCTCAACTCGGACTTTTACAGTGCTCTGTGATGTATTATTACTGTTTGTATACAAGTGAAAATGGCTTAAAATTTCGGTTATTGAAAAAGGAGCAATACAATTAGCCTTGTTTTGTGGTTCTTAAAGAAAAAAGTATCTTAATAATTTTACGGAATTAAGCGCTTCGATAGGTGTTTTGTCTGTTAGGTAGAATAATATCGTAATGTACTTCTACTGTCCGATTCACGAAAACAAATTTCGCTCGTTCAATCCCAATTTTATTCCCTTTTTGGTTTCCCTGACCCAGAGAAAAATATTTGACTAAATTAGTCAAGTTGACCCAGACACCATGCTTATCAACAAAAAAAAAATTGACTAAAAGTTTCAAATATATTTTTTATTCATGTTTTACGACTCAATCTAAGTTTCAAGTATCTAAAGTTTTTTTTTATTTTCAGCAACTGTTATAATTTAAAAACGATGAAGATGAAAGAGGTCAAATTGGCACTCGAAAAGTGGAAAAAAAGGATTTATGTTGGAAACGAGCTTCAAGAAATGGTGTCAAAAATATAAGCGCAAGAGCAGTTTCAAAAGCTCCAGTTTTGAGTTTTTCCCAGAAGTGGTTTTGGGTCCAAATATATGAACTAAAAATACTTTCAAATGTTTATCAAAAACTTGAAGAATCACTTTTTCTTGCTAAACTTATTGTTCAAGTGCACCATTGGATTGTTAGGTGTTTGCGACGTTGTAATATTTGGCTAACACTGGATTCTAGCTTAAACAATAGTACAGGTTATTATCATTAAAAAATTGTGAAGATCACAATGATTGCATTGCTCAAATGTATAATTAAATTAATTTAGTTACATATGCTAAATGTCTAAACATCTAACTGAGAAATCAAAGATTTAAAATAAAAACATAGGAAACTCTTATGGTATTCAGAGTTATTGTAGGAACAACAGAATTAAAATAATCCCGCACATTTTAAAGAAATTAAGTAGGTGAGATGTTAAATCAATAACTCTCTCTCTATCCTATTTGTGCGATACAATTTGACTCAACAAAGACCTATTATTTGTTTCACTTGTGAATGTTCTCAGAGTGTTAAAATATTAGTAAGTGGACTTCTGGTATGGTAATTCTAATGGGTTCTGTGTTCATGTTCTCAGTTTCAAAAATTCTATATATGAAAGAACAACAAGGTGTTTGAATTACTGGTTTCTTTTTCAATGTATAGACGTCAATAAGCAATTACCTGGTTTTGAAACACTATTCATGTGATCTTACTGCCTTTTAAGGCAACCTGAGAAAAGGAGTGAAATGAGATTGAGGCATTAGGCACTAATCTCTTTTGACAGATTAAGGGCTCATTCTATAACTTCCGTCTCATTTCCTAGTGTTATTTTTTTATTTACACAGATAGCAGAGAGCAAAGCTCATACAACGATTTTGTTCTCTTCAAAAAATTTTAAATCTGAATTGTAAAAAGATCATTGTTTGTTGATTTGTGTAATAATATAAAGACGCAACAAATATGAAACCATTTGGGCAAAAGTATTTTCTTTGATTGTTTAGTATTGGTCATCCGAGTCTTAACTTGAGTGGAGATAGATGAATGTTTTTATTGCAGTTAGCTCTATGACAATGTTTTGTCCTTTTAGTCTAGGCATATCCTGCCTATGTCCTCTGCTGCATATTGGTTGATGCAATCATATGTCCATTTTTAGTAGGTGTTCTAAAATGTTCTTGCTTTGATGGATGTCACCAACAGATCTATTTAGTATTTACCAAAGTCAAGTAGCTTTTACAACACTCCCGTTTATCATGTCACTTGCATGATTCTTTAATTAATGCCCTCCTTTCTTATTTCTTTGCTTTAGATTTTTTTGTATGAAGGTTTTTATTGATTGATGAAGTTAGATTGCAAGATGAAATCAAACTTATCTAGTTCTTGGAATATCATAATTTCATCCTTTGTCTGAATTCTTTATCAACCACCTATATTTGTATATCTTTCAGGTTTTAAGCCACACAAAAAAAAAGGTTAAAACATTGTAACAGAGAAATTAAGAAGCATTTGAAGGTACCTTTAACTGGAAAAAAGAGAAATGCCTTCACAGAAGATTGAAAGTGGGCATACTGACACGGTGCATGACGTAGCAATGGATTACTATGGTAAGCGTCTGGCAACAGCTTCTTCAGACTGCACCATTAAGATAACAGGGGTTAGCAGCTCCTCCTCGCAGCAACTGGCTACTTTGAGTGGTCACCAAGGACCAGTGTGGCAAGTAGCTTGGGCTCACCCTAAGTTTGGGTCAATCCTTGCTTCCTGTTCTTCTGATGGGAAGGTAATTATTTGGAAGGAAGGTGCGCAAAATGAGTGGAGCTTAGCACATGTTTTTGATGACCATAAAGCTTCAGTCAATACCATAGCTTGGGCTCCTCATGAGTTGGGCCTTTGTTTGGCTTGTGGATCTTCTGATGGGAACATTTCGGTTTTCACTGCAAGATCAGATGGTGGTTGGGAGACATCACGGATCGATCAGGCTCATCCAGTTGGCGTTACATCTGTTTCGTGGGCGCCTTCAGCAGCTCCAGGCTCTCTTGTAGGCTCTGATATGCTTAATCCTGTTCAGAAGCTTGCTTCTGGTGGCTGTGACAATACGGTTAAAGTGTGGAAACTGTTTAACGGAACTTGGAAAATGGATTGCTTCCCGGCTCTTCAAATGCACACTGATTGGGTCAGGGACGTCGCTTGGGCCCCTAACTTGGGACTGCCAAAGTCAACTATCACGAGTGCTTCGGAAGATGGAAGAGTAATTATATGGACCATGGGTAAGGAAGGCGATCAATGGGAGGGTAAAGTGTTGAAGGATTTTGGTGCCCCTGTGTGGAGAGTATCGTGGTCGCTAACAGGAAACATACTGGCTGTGGCAGATGGGAATAACAATGTGACATTATGGAACGAAGCAGTAGATGGTGAATGGCAACCAGTGACGACAGTAGATGCATAAAGTTAAACACATTTTTCACCATCTCCCTTAAGTCCATATTTTATTTTATTTTTTTGATTTGCACCGGGTGTCCGAGTCTGTATGAGCCCCGACTAATCCCAGGGGTGCATAGGCCCTCGGCAAGGAGTTTCCCGCAAGTGCACCACGGTTAATTCAGGTTTTACCCAGTCCAATGGCCTTCAGAAATTGTTTCATATTAATATAAATCTAGCTATTTTGCAATGCATAAATGACTAAGGAAACTTGATGTTGTTCATGAATTGTCGATTATCGTAAAATGGATTTTGCTTCATCATATCAATGTGCTTTATAACACCATGATCAATGTGATGTTTGATGGAAGAATAGATATGTTTGAGCTTTCTAATTTTCTTTTTTACTGACTACGACTCTGTAGTTTTGCAGCCGCTTCGTCAACTAGATCAATACCAGGATTTAGTTCCTTGATAACTTTTTACTCTTGCTCAAATGAGTGGGTTGGACTGATTTTGGGGGTTGAATAAAATGTGTGGGTCAGTGATCCGTCTAAAAGTTACTTGGGTTGAGATGAACTGGGTCAAAATGAGCTAAAATTTGGATCATAGCTCAGCCCACACAACTCTTATAAAGCTTTAAATAATGTGTATTGTTTTCTTATGAGTTAGTTTAATTATCAAATAAAAAATTTTCTTTTGTTGTGGTCATATATAACATATGACATATCAAACAAATGGATTGAATTCAACAAATGAATGGGTAAATCGGTTTGGATTTAAATTGCCATCCCTACTCCCGTAGTATTGTAGTGGTCCTTGATATAAAGCAGCAATTTTGATACATTAGGAGAGTTAAATAAAATATTTACTAGATTTACGCTTCTATGATGGCAAAGCATCTTAGCATACGTTTCACTAAATTGCTCCTGTTAAGTGTTCTTCTTTTTTTTCCGAACCTTTTTCGTAAAAATAGCACGGTATAACCAGTTTTCGGACTGGTCATTCAAAAATAGTCAGCGTTTACAAAGTCAATGAAAAATAGCCACTATTTTGCTGCAACAGAGACCGGTCCAGCATAATATGCTGGAGTTCATGCACAGGTGCACCGAACTCCAGTATATTATGCTGGAGTTCTAGTGTACTTATCCTGGAACTCCAGTATAATATGTTGGAGTTCAAGCATACTTATGCTAGAACTCCAGTATAATATACTAGCGTATTTTCCGAGTTTTGAATAGTGTTTTCGCTCAGATTTATCTTTACATGAAAAGTGGTTAAATTTCAATTACTTTTAAAACTGGGCTATTTTTGAACGATCAGTTGTAAAACTGACTATTTTTGAATTTCTCCCCCTTTTTCTATTACCAAAGGAGGGGGGAAGGGAGATACTACAAATGGAACACACACTTATTGTGGGATGGAAAAGGGATAAAAAGTACTCATACTAGAAATATCCTAATTGTATTCTCAGTTATACATTAAGGTAATTCATATAATCATATCCTTGTCAATAGCAGATTGCTTCTTACTTATTTTTTGACCTTAATAGAGCTCTAACATAAAGTATGACAAAGGACAATTTTGCAGCATGCAATGAGCAAACGGGTAAATTGGAACCTCTTTGTCAGAAGTATTTTAATACATTGTATTAACCTAGTCCATGCTATAGCTCCGTTAAAGTTAAGGACAGATACGAATCAATTTATCGATGACAAGGGTATGAATGACCCATATCCCTGAAGTATAACAAAAAAGAACATTAAGTTATTTCATATAACAGAAAGCACGATCATCGTCCTAATTTGTGATTACACATCTGCGTCAAAATTATCAATTCATGGAGGCTGGCCCATGTTTTTTTCTAATGGACTTTTCAATTTCTGTTGAGATGGTTAGGGTGACCGCTTGTGACAGTTGTAACAAAGTTAGTTAGATGACACCTTTGTAGTGTAGAAGAGTTAGTTAATTAGTTAGTGGTTAGGAGTTAATTATATATATTCCCACGTGTACAGTGTGTTAGCTAATAAGCCATTGTATTCATTTTTATTCTCTGTAATTGATGATCAGATTTCTTCCAGAATCTTCTTCTTCTTCTTCCTTCGATTCAATCTAAGCTTCAATCCTCCACCCTCTAATGGTGGATTTTATCAGTTTCCATCCAACTAAAATGCAGAAGATTTAACCTAAATAGCCAACTATCCAACCACTTAAATTAAAAATAGCCGGTGGGGGTATAATATATGTCTAGTTTATGTATTATATGTGATAGTTGTGTATAATCAATGCATAATTTATGTATATGGCTAAAAAAAATAAACAATAAATATGATCGGCTATTTGTGTAAAAATCCTATAAATGGACCACTATTGGGCCTTTAAGTCCATGATGATGTACAAGTATAGTTGTTGGTAATTATTGCGTGAGCTAGCCGCTTTTAAACAAAAAATTACATAAATGTGATATTGTTTAGGGTGGTCTTTAACTTTTGACCCTCGCTTTCCGTAAAAATTGCACGGGGCGCCCTATTTGGTCGCCCCCATTTAACATATACCCATTTTTTTTAAAAGTTTTAACTTGTACCCACTTTTTAAACAATTTCAGCCCCCTTTCTCCTCCTCCTTCTCCTCCTCAAAGTTTTATCTTTTCTTTTTCCAGAAGTAAGGTTCATCCTTATCTGCTTCTTCTTATTTCTCCTTTCAATCATTTTTTCCTTTTCGCCGATACCCTCACCTGTAAAGGTTCTATGTTGGTTTTGCAACCTGAATCTTATGCACAATTTTGATGTGAAAATGGGATAAGAGAAATTAATTACTAATTTTACATTGTTGTTTGGTGAATTGGGTCTGGTAGTAATTGGAGATTTCAGTTGTCGATTGGATTGGTAATGTGTTGATATTTCTTGGTTCCTGTTAATGTTGCTTTAAGTTAATTTGTGTGGGTACAACATGCCCCCTAGAACTCTAGAGCTGAAGTTCGCCACTTACAAAACAAAACTTTAGCTCTAGAGCTTAAGTTCGCTAGTTACAAAAACAAAAACTTCAGCTCTAGAGCTGAAGTTCGCCAAAAATAAAAACTTCAGCAATTACAAACAAAAACTTCAGAAAATAGAGAACAAAACTTCAGCTATTATGCTTAAGTTCAGCAATTACATACAAAACTTTAGCACACTTGCTACTTCAGTCCCGTCTGCTAGAATGCTGAAGTTTTGCGTGATTGTCTTTGCTACTTCAGCCCCGTATGCTGAAGTTACGCGAAAAAAAGTGGGTACGCTTGCAATTTTTTTTGCAAAGCGGGCACAAGTTAAAACGTAACCCAAAAAGCGGGTATAGATGCAAATGCCCCCTCGCTTCCTCCCAACAATAGAACTTCAATGTCAAAAGTTAAAAGCGCTAGTGTTGCCCTCCTTGTTAAACTTAAAAAATATTTCACGGGGCAAGCGGGACAAAAATTCAAGACCATCTACTTTGAGAAGTATTTGTGTACTTCACCCACTTTTAAGTCCCATAATTGACAAAATATCCACTTGTGGAAATCGAATTTCCATGACAATAGCTACTTTTTAATTACATGGGGCTGAAAATAATTATTTTTGAATTTTTCCCGTATAGTAAAGCATGAATCTAGGACTACGATACTTGTGATGAATTAATTTGCTTAAAGGCTCTCTTGGTAGCGTGTGATGAGAATATCAAAATATTTCTAGCTAAAGATACTATAATTATTTTTAACTAAACCAAAAAGAAAAGGGTATTAAGTAGTAACATGAAGAAGTAATAATTGAGGGAGCATTGTTAGTAATAAATTACTGAACACCAAGACAATCTTAAAGCCAATTATCAAGGCGGACGGCACGTGCACTGCTAAGCATCCACGTGATGACCTTACACGTGCAACCACGTTAGCACTGTTGACGCACGTGTGGGAAGCATCAAAAGAGAAAGAGACGACTTCCTTAGTCTTGAACTAAGCGTACATGCGACACTTGACAACGCGTTTATGATCTTGTACAATTTGCGCACGTTCTTATTATGCCAAGTCAGTTTTACTATACTAAAGATCGCTAAGGAGATGTTAGAACACATGAGAATTGTCAAATGAAGCTTTTGTATTAGAGAGAAGTTGATTGTTTTGCTTAGTGAGTTACAAATGAATAACCCCCTTTATATACTAGTTTCATAGGGGCTAGTGAATAAATAATAATTATTACACAAATCCCATATTATTTACAAGTAAATCCTTTTTCTAGAATTTTCGACATAGCTAGAATCTTCTAAGGATTTCCCTAGCAATTCCATAGGTTGTAAAGTCTTCCATGATAAATCTCTATATTTCTCTAGAACCTTCCCACATGTGCTAGTATATTTTATATGTATGTTTTTCATAAGGAAAAAATATATGTCAAGTGGTACCTACGTGGCATGATGATGCGGCGGGTCATGACATTAGAGTTCGTGCAGAAATCAAAGGCCTAAGCCCATAAACAATCAAATATCCAGTTATATATTTAGAGAAATGTATATTTTTAACCGATCTCAAAACAATAATCAACAAAATATATATTTTTTGTATTTTTTTATACAAAAAAATATACATATTCTATATATTTTTTTACTAGTAAATACAATTAGTTTCGATCGGCCGACAAACTTTTTATTTTGCCCATATATTTAAGCAGGTCCAGCTTGTCTTATAACTGAGCATTTTTCTTTTAATAAACAAATACTTCCTCCTGTTCTTTTTAGTCATTGTCAAAATTTTGATACACCCATTAAGAAAAGTATTTACTAACATTTTTGACTAACTTGTCTTTTATCTCTGCTCAAACTTTTTTTTCTCCTGAAAATTGGTAAGATTGGTATGACTTTTTAGAAAATTGTGTATATCATTTATTGGAGTAAGTATAAATTTTGAAACAAAAGTATCTTCTTCTTTTTTTGGTTTTCTAAAGCGACATTTACTTTGACCTAATTCGTTTCGCTAAAATAATACTCCACTTTCTTTGCACCAAAGGAAGTATATTTGAAAATTGAAACTAATTAAACTCCATATCTCCATCCAGCACTCAAAATCAGCATAAAACCAAAATTCATTTTTAATGAAAACCCAACCATATCATGGAAAAGCCCTTTGCTTGTGGAATTTTAGATTATTATGAGCAATATAATTCTTACATATTACACGTCTCAAGTTCAAGTTTTGGTAATAGAGAAATTCTTTTTAAGAACTGTTAGCGATGACAATTTGAGCCAAACTCATTTGACCTACCCAACCCGTCCAAGGTTGGACTCGTCATTGACTCGTTTATTTGTTGAAATTAAC